AGAGAGAGAGAGAGAGAGAGAGAGAGAGAGAGAGAAAGGAAAGGGAGACACAGAATATCTGAATAACATGCTCATACTGTTGTTCGTGTGGTTGCCATTTTATTGTTGCTGTTATTTCTTGACGCTGTTGGTGATGCTGTTTCAAACTAAATTTTTAAAGTTTGCTGATCCAAAAGTTAAGGGGGAGTCCTCTGCCAAACTGGATCACTACTATCTGTGATGAAGGCACTTTGAGGAAGTTGAAACTGTTCTCTTCTTGTGGATCAAAATCAGTGTGCCTTTGAGGAAGTGAATGCTGTTGTTTATGATAATAAATTGTATAACGTTACGTTTGTTATTCTAACGTTGTATGTCTTGTTACATTCTGTTGCTCACTGTACATTCATTAATATTTCACAGATGCTAATAAAAGAGATATTAAAAGTTCGAATATGTTGCAAAATCTTTTGTCTCGTCTATGACTAGGTAGATTTTACTATTTTTTTAGAATAAACTATTTTGGCCTTTGTCTAGTGTTTAGGCCACCGGACTCGTAATCGTGAGGTTGGGGGTTCGGGGATTCGAGCCGTAGACCCGACATTGTGTTGTTTGGGAAAGGCATTTTACATGAATTCCCCTCACTTCACCCATGTGGGAAGGCGTAACTGGTCAGTACATTAGTATTCTGGCGCCTATAAATGGCTATTTGCTCTGTATGATTCCCAGGAAGTTGAGGTTGTTTCAGAACCCTCTCAGGTCTGCTGGGGTAATAGTATAGATTGTGAATCGTATAGAACTTGCTGTTGATCGGTGATTAGCGCTATACAATTGCTATATATTATTATTATTACTATTATCTTTATGGTGTAGTCACAAAAGAGACACCCATGATTGGTTATGTGTCTCCTGTTGGCTTTTTAGAAAAAGTAGTTAACTAAAATCGAGTACAACATTTTGTCAGCATTAGACGTTTAATCGGACGCTTTCACTTTATGTTTCTAAGCAAGCTAAAAATGTTTCTAAACTTTTGAAGGTCATATGAGGTAATAAAAATGATTGTAAATCCAATATAGCCTGCTTTTGAACCGGGATATTTGCTATCAAGATACATTTAATTATTTATGTTTCTAATTTAAGTGCCCTTATGATATAAAGTGCAATACGTCAGCTTGACAAGAGCCAGGAGCTGTAATGATCCCACAGTATAAGAAATGGACATTGAGGTTTCTTCAGCTCCTGCCATACTATCGTATATAACGCATTAAAAGCACCACACGACATTCTATCTCTCTATCTCTCTTTCACTTTCTATCTATCTATCTATCTATCTATCTATCTATCTATCTATCTATCTATCTATCTGTCTGTCTGTCTATCTATCAATCTATTTGCCATATCTATTTATCTATCTATCTACCCATCTCCCCATTCTCTCTATCTCTTTATCTCTCTCTCCCTCTCTCCCCCCTTTCTCCCTCTCTCTCTCCCCACCTCTCTCTCTCTCTCTCTCTCTCTCTCTCTCTCTCTCTCTCTCTCTCTCTTTCTGTCTCTTTCTTTCTGTGTTTTGTTGCTGTCTTTACTTTATTTCTTGCTTACTCGTCCCACTCGTACTCTGCACCCCTCCTCTTAATTAAAAACAAAACTTTGGGAAAAACATACAACATAAACGTGGTATGATATATTAAACTTAACACGGTTTCCCGGGCTAAACATATTAAGTTCCTATTGTGGCAACAGAGTTGTGGTTCATAAGACGCATGCTGCGTATCCCATGGACAGCTAGAAAAACAAATGAAGAAGTCTTGGTTGAAGCAAATTGCAGAAGACAACTTATGACGAATATAAGAAAACGACAGGCAAATTTCTTCGGATACACAATACGGAAAGAAGCATTGGAGAATATTGTAACAACAAGCAAGTTTAATGGAAGGAGAGGCAGAGGTAGACAGAGGGAAAAGATACTGGACAAGATGGCAAAATGGCTAGGAAGAACAACAGACACCATTGCTGCAACGCAAGACAGAGTGAAGTGGGGGTACATGATAGCCCACGCCAGTCGGCAAGGCACCGGATGATGATGATTGTTCTTTACCTTTCCATACAACATTCTCAACGAGTGAGCTGTGATTTACTTTATAAATATTTAAAGTGGTAGTCAACAAGAAAAGCATACCCCTGGCACATTTTGAATGTCTTTAAACTAGTAAGGCTCTCTATAGGTCACTGTTGATGTCACATGGGGGCCAAAAGGAAACATTGGGTTGAAGCAATATTCATTACGTAGTTTTGGCTAAGATGTAGCCATAGCGCAGCTGTTGTCAACCTGTTGTTATAAACACTTTTACCACATTAAAGAGGCTAAACCTTTTGTACCGCCCACATACATGTATTTCCATTCGGGCAGCGAAAACCACCCACCGCCCACTAAAACTACCGAACCGCCTACTAGTTAGTGACATCGCCCATGTTGGCAAACACTGCCATAGAGAAGGTAAATTACCCAAGTTCAGCTTCATGGGTATAATAAGCTTGATGGGTTCTGAAAGAGTAGCCTAACGCCTTCAGGGTGGTCGTCTAGTAGTAATATTGATGTCATATCTCGTGGTCTGAACCCCCCCCCCCCTTCCACCAACCCGACTTCTCCAACCCTAACCACTAACTCACCAAACAGGGGGCTCTCGTGGTCGAGAGGTCACTTTGTTAGTCTATCATTCAATATGTCCCGGGTTCGAATCCGGATAACGACAGACAATTTTCTTTTCTAAAATTATCTTTTCAAACTCGTTCCTGCTCTCCAACAATGTTCTGTCGTCTGCTTCCGACTCCACTTTTGCCCCCACCTCCTCACCCCCTTTTCTGCCCTCCTCTGGGCTCCTGGCTCTTTCTGCAGCCTTTCAACTGCTACTTCTTGGCTCCTATTTACTGCTGTCTTTCAGTCACACCTCTGATCTTAAAGTATGTACAATCTTCATCTAGCCTTCTCGAATAAGGGAGAAAAATCTAGGAGGTCACGTGAGCAATTTGCCCATTTTAAAGATGACTTTGTGGTCCACTGTCAATAAGAGTAGGCTTCGGCCGCCACCTGGGCATTATTCAAAATATTCATCCATCTACGCACACACCCCACCCCTCCAGTGATGTGAAGTCAAGGCCATCTTCGCCAGCGAAGGACGAACATCATCATCATTCAAAATATCCTACCAGCTGATAATGTGTCCCGCGCGCTTTTATGACCGTATGAAGTAAAACACTTCCACAAAAAGCCCACAAAGAACTCCCCACACTCCCCACACTCCCCACACTCCCCACACTCCCCACACTCCCCACTCCAGACCTCTACCCCCCCCCCCCCCAAAGCAACACAAGGAGTCACACACAGCCAAGGGTGGGCATATCGAAATTTCGATATATTCATATTTTACACATTCAATATTGTATCGAAGCAGAGAGAAAAAATATATCGAAGTTTCGATATTTTGATATGCCCACCACTC